TTATAAAATAAGAGCAGTTTTATAATAAAATAGAAATAAAAAATTGAAATAAATGATTTAACATAAATTATATTATTAAATGAGTTAATATACATAATATTATAAGTTTTAATAAAGTAAAAATAGTTTATTAAATAATGGCCAAAACTCCTATTTGCACCTTATACATTTTTTCTTTTTGTGGTCAATACCCTAAATTAATTTTTATCCTAGTCAACACCCTCCACTATTTAAAACTCGTGAAAAACCTAAAAATTTATGTTCAAACCCTTTATTCGCACTTTGATTTTGTGGTCAAATCCCTTATTTCTACTATGATTTGTTGGTAATTTGGGATTTTTTTTTTATATAAATTTTAAATTATGAAAGGTGTTGACAGAAGCGAAAATTAATTTAGAGTGTTGGCCATGAAAAAAAATGTGTAGAGTACAAATAAAATATTTAACCTTAAATAATATAAAATTTATTTTTTAATATTTTAAATAACATGACTCATTCCATATTATTGATCTAAAGTTAAATTACAATTATTGAGAACATTAAAATTAAATTGGTCATCATCTATAACATAAAGGTGACGGTGGGGAGAGAAGCGAAAAGCTAGAAATAGTGGATCTTAACAAAGTTAACAAAGTTCAAAATATTTCTTCACAAGAATTAGTCGATTTATATAGAGGTTTAGGCAATGAGAAGTCTAGAAAGTAGTGATTACACCTAATTTTGCAACAAATAAAATAGTGTCACATGTCATTCATGTCGGTAGCTATTTCATTTGTTGAAAAGTTGTAGATCTCTCCTAGATAATGTTTAGTAGTTATTTTCACACCATCAACAAAGTCATTTGCTTGTTGCGAACTTCCATGAGTATAATTGGCAACACCAATAGTTTTATTGATTTGTTGTAGATTTCACGCCGCTGTTAGTTTCACGATGCTGCTGTAGATCTTTAGCATGCTACCAAGAAGTGTTTATTGCTATAATACGTGAAGAAGAAACCAAGCAAGATAGATTTGCCTCTCACACAAGCTTATCACTAGCTCTTTTAATGCTCAAGGTCATCTCAATTTCAAGCCCTTTAATTAGTTTTGACTCTACACTTCAACCTAAAATTAGTCTTTAACTTTAGTTTATGTCTTTTCCTTTAGAAATCCTAGAAATTACTTGTAGTTATCTGAAGAAGCAATTCAGTTCTTTTTTTGTTGGCCTTGTAATGGTAAGATTTGCTGCTTTTAGTGATATTTCTTTGTAATTGAATTGCTTCCTTTCTTTTATTATTTTCCTAGTTTCTTTTAATTTAACCGAGCAATATCAATATTTAATTTCATGTTCTGTTGATTTGTATTTCATGCTGTTGATAGATTTTTTATGTTTCAAGTTTCATTTACTTTAGCTTAATTTATTTTTTTGCATTTAGATTTCCTTGTTAGAGCTCTATTTTAACTCAATTTGTATATTTAAAATTCATTTAGATTTTCAGCAATTTGGTTGTCATTGACTTTTCTAGTAGTCTTAGTTTTTCTTGATTACATTAGTTTAGAGGAGTCCTTGGAGACATATTTAAGGCATTTTGTCATTTAACTGATTTAGTGTAGGAAATTCATTCCTCGTTTCTATCAATAATCTGATCATTTAGGTGTAGTCTATGATGTTTTTCCATCAATTCACAATTGAGCTCTAAGCTTGGAAAGAAGAGATGGTCGTTAGAAAAATCTTCTTATTTTAAGCAAAGCAAGTGGTACATCGTTCCACCTGTTATGTGTCAAGGAGATTTTTTGGGATAATAATCTCTTATTGGCATGCCTAGTTGGACCTCCTGTTGGCAGTTATGTATTAAGAAAAGTTTTTTTATCCCTTTTTTTCTTTTCTTAGGCATAAACCAGCCATAATCATGCCTAGGAAAGTTGGAAAATAAGTTGCACAAGAATAGGAAATTACCCCTGTGAGTCCAGGACATTATGAAGTCGAAAATAGCCCAAGGCATATTTCTTCCATTTCTTCCTCTGTTGATTGCTCATACCATGCATGGCAAGGATGATGAAGAGAAGGGTGATTTTGCTGAGTTAAGTAGCAAAATATCTCAAGGACTTTAGGAAATAAGAAAACTGCATGAAGAAGCCAATCGAAGTATAAAGTTTAGTCTATAAAGCACTCAAATGGCACAACAACAATAGTCATATTTTTTTCACTTAATATGTGAACGCTGTTAAAAGGGCCATTAATGAAAACTCTCGAGCTATCTAAGAAGAGGTAGTAAAAAGTCGTAAAACTCTCGATATAGTCTTAGAGAGAACTATGAAACAGATTCAATAACAACAAAATGTTCTAAGGCAACCTGTACCTCTAGTAGTAAAACTGCCACAACAAAATCTTCCAAATCTTTTGTTCAGGGGGCACCAGGGCATATTAATCAATCACAGGTGGTGCAATAAGTAGTTCATGTTTACAACATTGATCTTGGTAATAGCCCAATGCAATTCAATAGGCAGCAACAGAACAATCTTACTGGCGGCATTCTTAGATCACAAGGTCTTATGGATGTAGTATTTCGTATAACTGAGCAATTCAACACCAACCAACAAACATATGTATCTCATGTACGGTGTCCTAACACTACCCCATAGCTTAACTTGTAAAATAATGCCTTTCAGTTGTTTAGGCTACAAGCAACACTTCCTCCCAAAGACAGAAATCAATTGATTGAACTAGTCCATAAGATATGTGGTCCAGCTCTAAGACCATTAATTTGTCCTACTTACCATAAACCTTATTCGAATTACGTAAATCAAGATAATTTGTTCCACCGGGGATTCAAGGTGCTTCAATTTACTTTGTTTTCTGGGGATATAAGTTTATCAACCATTGAACACATTGGTAGGTTCACTATTTAGTGTAGGGAAGCATCAGATGATGATTCTCTGAAGTTGAGGCTCTTCTTAAGTTCTTTAACTGGTATTACACTGACATGGTACCTAAGTTTGCCACAAAATTTTTTGTTTATTTCAAGACAAATAGAGGAGTTGTTTCATATTCAATTTTATCGTTCAAAGCTAGAGATATCCATGGCCAATCTTTCTAGATTGGCTCAACAGCCAAAGGAATCTTTATAAAATTATCTTGCACAATTTAGAAAGGTCAGGATGAAGTGTCATGTTGCCTTACTAGGGTAAGAGTTCATGAAGCTTGCTCAGAATGGTTCAGACATTGAACTTTGAAAGAAATTTGAGGGGATGGAATTTAGAGACTTTTTTTAGCTTTCTTATAAGGTGGCTCATTATGAGAATCTTTTAAGGGAGGAATCCCAAAGGAAAGCAACTTCTCAAGAAACTTATTATCAAAATGCTTTTAACATTGATGTTGTTGAAATCTTTGCAAACAAGCTAATAACTTGTTCTAATTTGGTGAAAGTCACTCAACAAATTGAGGTAGTTGCAAAACACCTCCCGTATGAATTAAGAAGACAAACATATTTGATATGATTTTAGTGAATGAAATCTTTAAAGTTTGGACATATTAAGTTATTATAGGGGCATAGGCTTTCAATAGTTGTTGAAATTGCATTAAAAGATTATTGCAAGTTTCATAATTCTTAAAAACATTTTATTAATGACTGTTATTTTTCAAAATGTGCTGTAGGAGAAGATTGAAAAAGGATTGCATTATTTCCATGAAAAACCTAAAAAAGCTATGAAGGTTGATGGGAACCTTTTTCCAACGTGGATGTTGGGGTCAATGTTGTTAACATAAGAAGCATCTCT